AGTAATTTATCAAAATATTTAAAAAGGTTTGCTGCATGGTTGAAATACACAACGCGTATAAAAAAAAATTTTTTTTTAGAGGAAAAAAACTACGTCTAAGTCGCATTTTATTATTTCATTCAGAAATAGGCCTAATGCCAACACAATGTTTACAAACATTATAATAAACACTGTAAACTTAGCTAGGCTATTTTAGTTCCCCTCACTCCACAAAGCCTTTCAATGAACGGTATTTAGAAAAGAACAAGAATTTAAAATATAAGAAGCTATAAACGACAAGCCAAAATGAATTAATTTTGGCTAAAACGAAACTGAAACCAACGTTGCGTCTATCATTCGAGACGAAATCAAATGTTTCCGTATTCGCGATGTATTTGAATGCCAAAATATTATTTATTATGTAGCCTAGTTCACTCGCATTCCAATATCCACGTAAAACAAAATGGTTTGCATAACATCATTCACGGCGGTACGATGATAACGCTTAACGGCACAGATTTGACTACATATTTAAACTGAGCAGTGTGTTTTTTCCATATGTTTGACTGTCTGTATTTTATTATGATAATGAGCAGGCTGCATTGTCAAGGTAGCAATGCTTAACTGTGTGCGTGCATGCGGCGCCGGCGCAATCATTCGAATTTTTTCTTTCTAACAGTGGAAGCAACTACTCCTTTTAGTCCTAAAGATAATCGGAATTTTAAAGGTTTGCTTTTATTTGTGTACATTCACAATAAAAACAAATCTTTGTGCTTTTGTAAAATAAACCTAAAGAAAAATAGGATGCTGCTTTCTGCCGTCTGGTTTCCTTTCGCGCAGCATAACAATGAACTGAAACTCTGCATACTAGGCTACTTGTTGCACAGTTTTTCTTTTGTTTTCTTAATTTATTATTTAAGTAAAAATATATTTCTCGTATAGGCCTATTTGTCGTTATATATATATATGCCTATAGCCTAGCTTTATTATGTTTTTCTCCACTCGCAGAAGCGCTGCAGGTACGTGATGTGATATGAAGACGTGATTATGTAAAATGAATCCCCGGGAAACAAATGTTAGTTTTTTTTTTACGGGTCACAGACACGTATCCTTTCTAATTTAATTCAATTCGAATTTAAAATAATCTTGGCGGTTAACGGTTAATAATCGGTTAACGAGCGTCAGTTGTCGGTTAGGAAAAATAACCGAAATGAACATCCCTAGTATATATGTATGCTTTTTTTGACTCTCTCTTTGCCTGTCTAAATGTAATATTTCCATATTATTTAATTAGAATAAAATTAATATATGTAATTGTATAAATAATATTTCCGAGGTCATGACTAGATGCCACTCATTGAATTAAACGTGTAAAATGTAGCAAGTACTAAGCTAGTATTCACTTCCCAATATTGGCAGATTCTTCCTGATTTCTTCAACTTTCCATGCACAAATATTTTTGGATCCCCACAATCTGATTCTGTCATGTTTCCGCTCCAGAAACCTTCAACCCAGAGCCCTTCAGGCTTTTCTTCAGTCTCGTCCGGAGAGCAGTAGAGTGGCATGGAGGACCCCAAAAGCCCCATGAAAGTGGTCAAAACTCCCCACTCGAGCGGGTGCATGACGCCGTCCTCCAAACCCCAGCGGGAGAGCACCAAAGTCCCGAGCCGAAGCAAAGACTCCGTCCCCAGGGCGAAAGGGGAGATCCAGGGCGGCCCCAGCGCTTTCAGGACCCGCACCGGCAGTCCTCAGGAGCCGGGGAAGGGCAAAGCCCGCAGGCTGACGGGCAGAACTAACTCTGGCGAGAGGGGGAAAGGGAAGCCCCAGCCGAGTGAAGGCCGTCAGCAAAACCAGGAGAACAAAACTCTGGTTCGAAACAGTGGACCGGTCAAAGATGGAGGAGCACCACCGCTGACCAGTACAGCAGAGGAGATCTCAACACACGACAACACCATCACCGCTAAAGACAAGATACCCGGTGAGAAACAGGCATTCACAATCTAATTTAAGATGGTTAAAAGGATACCCAAAAAAAAAAATTAGCCCATGATTTACTCACCCTCAAGCCATCCTAGGTGTATATGACTTTCTTCTTTCAGACGAATCCAATCGGAGTTACATTAAAAATTGTCCTGGCTCTTCCCAACTTTATAATGGCAGTGGACAGGTGTTTCAGTTCAACAGTCCAAAAGAAGTCCAATAAACCACATCCATCCATAATAAAAAGTGCTCCACACGGCTCTTAGGGGTGAATAAAGGCCTTCTGTGGCGAGTCGATGCGTTTTTGTAAGAAAAATATCCATATTTGTATCCATAACTGTTTAGCATGCCTAGCAACAAGCATGTCACTGAACAACTAGCCTTAAACAATGATCAATATTTGCCAATACCCTGATAGATTTAAAGGGATAGTTCATCCAAAAATGAAAATGTGAGGTTTATCTGCTTACCCCCAGGGCATTCAAGATGTAGTTGACTTTGTTTCTTCAGTAGAACACAAATTATGATTTTTAAGTCCAACCGTTGCAGTCTATCAGTCGTATACTGCATGGCAATGGTAACAAAATCTATGAGAGTAAAAAAAACATGCACAGACAAATCCAAATTAAACCCTGCGGCTCGTGACGACACATTGATGTCCTAAGACACGAAACGATCAGTTTGTGCCAGAAACCGAACAGTTTTTTATATCATTTTTTAAATTTTGTCCAACTTCCTTGAACGTGCGTGAGGTGTGTACATGCTCTGGCGTAGTTTACGTTAATAGGTGTGTTGATATCCAGCCGAAGAGCAATCAACCATAACTTCAGGCGAGCAGGCTCAGAAGTTGGGAATACGTGGAAAGTCACCTCTCCCGAATGAGTTCGCTCAAGAGAACGTAATCTTTTAGTTTTAAGTCGGTTTGAACAATCCGGATAATCCTAAAGATAATCGGAATTTTAAAGGTTTGCTTTTATTTGTGTACATTCACAATAAAAACAAATCTTTGTGCTTTTGTAAAATAAACCTAAAGAAAAATAGGATGCTGCTTTCTGCCGTCTGGTTTCCTTTCGCGCAGCATAACAATGAACTGAAACTCTGCATACTAGGCTACTTGTTGCACAGTTTTTCTTTTGTTTTCTTAATTTATTATTTAAGTAAAAATATATTTCTCGTATAGGCCTATTTGTCGTTATATATATATATGCCTATAGCCTAGCTTTATTATGTTTTTCTCCACTCGCAGAAGCGCTGCAGGTACGTGATGTGATATGAAGACGTGATTATGTAAAATGAATCCCCGGGAAACAAATGTTAGTTTTTTTTTTACGGGTCACAGACACGTATCCTTTCTAATTTAATTCAATTCGAATTTAAAATAATCTTGGCGGTTAACGGTTAATAATCGGTTAACGAGCGTCAGTTGTCGGTTAGGAAAAATAACCGAAATGAACATCCCTAGTATATATGTATGCTTTTTTTGACTCTCTCTTTGCCTGTCTAAATGTAATATTTCCATATTATTTAATTAGAATAAAATTAATATATGTAATTGTATAAATAATATTTCCGAGGTCATGACTAGATGCCACTCATTGAATTAAACGTGTAAAATGTAGCAAGTACTAAGCTAGTATTCACTTCCCAATATTGGCAGATTCTTCCTGATTTCTTCAACTTTCCATGCACAAATATTTTTGGATCCCCACAATCTGATTCTGTCATGTTTCCGCTCCAGAAACCTTCAACCCAGAGCCCTTCAGGCTTTTCTTCAGTCTCGTCCGGAGAGCAGTAGAGTGGCATGGAGGACCCCAAAAGCCCCGTGAAAGTGGTCAAAACTTCCCGCTCGAGCGGGTGCATGACGCCGTCCTCCAAACCCCAGCGGGAGAGCACCAAAGTCCCGAGCCGAAGCAAAGACTCCGTCCCCAGGGCGAAAGGGGAGATCCAGGGCGGCCCCAGCGCTTTCAGGACCCGCACCGGCAGTCCTCAGGAGCCGGGGAAGGGCAAAGCCCGCAGGCTGACGGGCAGAACTAACTCTGGCGAGAGGGGGAAAGGGAAGCCCCAGCCGAGTGAAGGCCGTCAGCAAAACCAGGAGAACAAAACTCTGGTTCGAAACAGTGGACCGGTCAAAGATGGAGGAGCACCACCGCTGACCAGTACAGCAGAGGAGATCTCAACACACGACAACACCATCACCGCTAAAGACAAGATACCCGGTGAGAAACAGGCATTCACAATCTAATTTAAGATGGTTAAAAGGATACCCAAAAAAAAAAATTAGCCCATGATTTACTCACCCTCAAGCCATCCTAGGTGTATATGACTTTCTTCTTTCAGACGAATCCAATCGGAGTTACATTAAAAATTGTCCTGGCTCTTCCCAACTTTATAATGGCAGTGGACAGGTGTTTCAGTTCAACAGTCCAAAAGAAGTCCAATAAACCACATCCATCCATAATAAAAAGTGCTCCACACGGCTCTTAGGGGTGAATAAAGGCCTTCTGTGGCGAGTCGATGCGTTTTTGTAAGAAAAATATCCATATTTGTATCCATAACTGTTTAGCATGCCTAGCAACAAGCATGTCACTGAACAACTAGCCTTAAACAATGATCAATATTTGCCAATACCCTGATAGATTTAAAGGGATAGTTCATCCAAAAATGAAAATGTGATGTTTATCTGCTTACCCCCAGGACATCCAAGATGTAGGTGACTTTGTTTCTTCAGTAGAACACAAATTATGATTTTTAAGTCCAACCGTTGCAGTCTATCAGTCGTATACTGCATGGCAATGGTAACAAAATCTATGAGAGTAAAAAAAACATGCACAGACAAATCCAAATTAAACCCTGCGGCTCGTGACGACACATTGATGTCCTAAGACACGAAACGATCAGTTTGTGCCAGAAACCGAACAGTTTTTTATATCATTTTTTAAATTTTGTCCAACTTCCTTGAACGTGCGTGAGGTGTGTACATGCTCTGGCGTAGTTTACGTTAATAGGTGTGTTGATATCCAGCCGAAGAGCAATCAACCATAACTTCAGGCGAGCAGGCTCAGAAGTTGGGAATACGTGGAAAGTCACCTCTCCCGAATGAGTTCGCTCAAGAGAACGTAATCTTTTAGTTTTAAGTCGGTTTGAACAATCCGGATAAGCACAAGTAAGTACCATTTTGATTAGCCATATTAGGCCTGGGTGATAAAACGGTATCGATATTTATCGACGGTACAGCCTCTTCGATTGTGAATTAAAATTAATCAAATTTAAAATGAACATTTGCATTTGAATGCAAAAATAGTACAATCAAAAGTTTGATGTGCGTCAGGGAGCGTCATCAGTGGAGCACGAGATGCGGTGATGAGGATGTAAGTGACGTTGTTGCATTGTAATGTTTTGTTTGTCTAGCCCACAAGACGCACAGTTGCTGTATTCATTCAAAATATTAGAGAACTGTAGTAGCTCAATGCGTAGAAGATCTAGATTAGGTTAAAACCAAAAGCAAGCCATTTACACAACGCATATTCAGCACATTTTTTAGACGGACAAATATGACTGCTGCACTCGCGTCTCACAGAAGAGATGTATAGAAAGCCATGCACAGTTAAAACAGTTTATACTTTTAGAAAACACGTCACGGATTTGTGGAGGTTTATTCCTTTTCACTCTGTCTCTTATGTTTTTAAATGCAAATTTAAGGGCGATACGGCTGTTTGTATTAAGCAATGCATAAATACATGATGCTGTTTTGTTCATAATTGTTTATGCAATTTACGAAATTGTTTGATTTATGAGTTAATTTCGACGTAATGCACGTTTTTTATAGACCGTTATTTCGTTTGCATTGGCAATTTAATGTGCTGCATTATTTTGCTCATGTGGCCTCGGGAGACAAGCCAAAAGTTTCCTTCAGACCTATTTAATCTGCATATAAAACATTAGAAAATTTGATATTTTTATTTTGTGTTTGACTGTTAAAACAAAAAATATTTGTTGTTTGTCTCAATAAATTGGGTTAATTTAAAAATACAGTGGTTAAATGTAAAAAAAAAATTCTATTGCTCTTTGTTTTAAAAAAGGTTATTAAAAATGTCAATAATTATTGATACCGGACGATATGAAACATTATATCGGTGATACATTTTTTTTTAGCTATATCGCCCAGCCCTAATATATACATGCGCATATATATATATATATATATATACACACACACAATTATTTTGCTCATGTGGCCTCGGGAGACAAGCCAAAAGTTTCCTTCAGACCTATTTAATCTGCATATAAAACATTAGAAAATTTGATATTTTTATTTTGTGTTTGACTGTTAAAACAAAAAATATTTGTTGTTTGTCTCAATAAATTGGGTTAATTTAAAAATACAGTGGTTAAATGTAAAAAAAAAATTCTATTGCTCTTTGTTTTAAAAAAGGTTATTAAAAATGTCAATAATTATTGATACCGGACGATATGAAACATTATATCGGTGATACATTTTTTTTTAGCTATATCGCCCAGCCCTAATATATACATGCGCATATATATATATATATATATATACACACACACACACACACATACACACACATATATAAGATATTTTAGGTTTTTTGGCACAGACAGGGTGTGGTTATCTCATTGGTTATGTTTTGGTGTCTGTTTCTTTAAATCTCAGGTGTGGAGGCGGGCAGACAGAGAGGCGAGGTCACGGCAGAAGTTGTGGAGGTTGGAAACCTGACCTCTGACCAGCAGCTGGGACTCAAACAGGCAGAGGAGAGACTCCAGAGGGACTACATCCACCGGCTGCTCAAGGTAAGACACGTCCTGCACACAAACACTGCATGGATATTTAATCAGGAACTAGTACTGTTATACTTGTTTGTTCACAGTGTCTGACGGTGTTTGTGATAATGTAGATTACTACAGAAGATCATTTTGACTAGTTCAACCCTACTTATCAGGTTTTGTAATGTAAAGGTCATGGATACTGAAGTGTTTTAAAGGTGTAGCAACAAGACTTGAACATTTATATGTGTTATACAGAATAATTAGTTTGCCCTGTCAGTGTACAGATAACTGCTGTGAATTGTAATGAAGCTGGTAACTTTCACATTAAAGTATGCATGCATTTATTTATTTACTATTTTGTTTATGTATGCTTTTATTTATCTATGGTTTTATTTATTTGTGGTTATATTATTGAAGTTCTATTGTACAGTTAACTCCTTTTTAAACTTTCACGTTAAAGTATTTATTTATTTAGTTGCATAAATACAACAGTAAATAAATATTTAAGTATGTTTTTATTTATTTGTGGTTTTATTATTAGTTTTTTTTATTTACCTATCTATGGTTTTATTTAAAGGTTTGTTAATTTTTTTATATACAGTTTTAATTATGTATGCTTTTATTTATTTATCTATGATTTTTGTCATAGTTTTTTCTGATTTTTTTGACAGATTTGTTTCTCTGTCTATAGTTTTATTTAGTTAAGTTTTATTTATTAATTTATTTGTCTTTATTTATTTATTTGTAGTTTATATATTTATTTATCTCAGGGTTTATTTGTGTTTTTTATGGCATTATTTATGGTTATATTTATTTATTTGTATTTTATATATTATTTAATTTTACAGGATTACTTTAATTATATTCAAGGTTTTTTACTTTTATTTATTTTTTTTTTTTATTTTACATTTTTACTGCTGTGTTTAAACAAGACTTGAACATTTATATGTGTTATACAGAATAATTAGTTTGCCCTGTCAGTGTACAGATAACTGCTGTGAATTGTAATGAAGCTGGTAACTTTCACATTAAAGTATGCATGCATTTATTTATTTACTATTTTGTTTATGTATGCTTTTATTTATCTATGGTTTTATTTATTTGTGGTTATATTATTATTATTTTATTGTACAGTTAACTCCTTTTTAAACTTTCACGTTAAAGTATTTATTTATTTAGTTGCATAAATACAACAGTAAATAAATATTTAAGTATGTTTTTATTTATTTGTGGTTTTATTATTAGTTTTTTTTATTTACCTATCTATGGTTTTATTTAAAGGTTTGTTTATTTTTTTATATACAGTTTTAATTATGTATGCTTTTATTTATTTATCTATGATTTTTGTCATAGTTTTTTTCAGATTTTTTGACAGATTTGTTTATCTGTCTATGGTTTTATTTAGTTAAGTTTTATTTATTAATTTATTTGTCTTTATTTATTTATTTATTTGTAGTTTATATATTTATTTATCTCAGGGTTTATTTGTGTTTTTTATGGCATTATTTATGGTTATATTTATTTATTTGTATTTTATATATTATTTAATTTTACAGGATTACTTTAATTATATTCAAGGTTTTTTACTTTTATTTTTTATTTTTTTTTATTTTACATTTTTACTGCTGTGTTTAGGATTAATTTTGTGCCAAACAATTATGAGTCTCTTTAGTTCATATTTGCTTTAACTTTTGCTGAATAGTTCAACTCTAATGCTGATCTAACTGTCCCGAATATCAGTATAAGTGTTGCATGTTTTCACACTCACTAGCTAATTTGGCTTTTAAATGATGGTGAAAAGTGCCTCGTTAATCAAATCCGAGTCATTGAGTGCCTCGTGATTTCTCCCGATAGCACGTCATGCTCTCCACAATCGGCAAAAATCGGTATCGGCGGGTCACATTTACAGAAAAAAATCGTTGCAAGCTTACCAGTGTTTTCAGAAAGCCAGCGCTTTTATCCACAGTGGAGAGAGAGCGCGTGCACATGGCTACCAGGTTGACAAAAATAAGTAACACACTTAGCAGATATTTCTGTATTGCACAAGTGTGAAGCACTGTTTCGGGGATTACGTCTCTTTATATCAGGCATGTGTTTTCCTTATATGTGTTCCTCTGCGGCCAGATTAAACCTTGTTGTAGCCTATATATTATACTCTTCATTATTTTGTAGAAACCTTGCACTTTTCCACTCCATTTAAACGCTGTTCTTGTATTCAAATTAAGCGCGGTCCACTGCTGTGCACGTACTGCGGAATCGATACCCGCGTCATCAAGTAATATGTGACGATACATCATCGTATCGATCTATCAAACACAGCCCTAGTGATTGCTTTCTCTTTCGTTGTGTATTTCCACAGCCGTCACCGGAGTACCCGAATTTCCAGTATCTATGCAAACTGTGTTCAGTCCACGTGGAGAACATCCAGGGTGCTCACAAGCACATTAAAGAGAAACGTCACAAGAAGAACATCACGGTGAGGGCTTCCTTCTGTGCTGGTTTTTCTGTGTTCTATAAAATCCACAGTGACTTTAAGCTTAGAGTAGGTTTTTCTGTGCTAGTTTCTGTTGCCAAACTTTTATGTCAGCCGATATCTACGTGAAGTGTCCTCTGATATTTTAATTAATATTTCAGTCATTTATTGATACATTCGCATGTTCTCAGCGGTTGATTAATGGTCACATGACATGCATATAAATAGATAAAATATTTAATCTTTTTTTAGTTAGTGTTTGATCTTGTAGACTCAAACCTTTTTTTTTTTGTTGTGATAGTGTCTCAGTCCACATTACATTCACACTGGGGTTTTAGGAATCCAGCCAGTGTTATTTTAGTATTTTGAGTATTTTATTGAGATGCTATTGCAGTTTTTATTAATATTATTTTTTCCTTTCATTTTCATTTTTGTTGAAGTTTTAGTTATTTAGTTATATTTTTGCCTTTTGACATTTTGATAAAAAAAAAATTTATTATGTCTATATAGTTTGTATTATTTTATTTTATTTCAGTTTAGTTATATTTATTTAGTACATCAAGTTAAACTAAATGAAAATGAGAAATGTTGCCTTGGCAAAATGTGTGTTTTTAAAAAATATATTTTATTTTATTTCAAGTAATGTTTTTATGGTTTTAGTTTATTTAACTATAATAACTCTGAACCAAACCGCTGAAATGCTGTAATGTTCTACCCACAAAATGTTTTGGAAATTATATAAATTATGTTATCAGGCTTGCTAAAGAATGCTGCATGTCACTGTTAGCATGCTAAAACCCTCTCAGGAAAGATGTTATAGCTAAATATTGGATTTGACTCATTTCTATTGTTTTTTCTTGTTTATGTACGTTTGCAGGAGAAGCAGGAGGAGAATGAGTTGCGAGCGCTACCGGGTCCCTCTCCGGCCCAGTTGAGAGCGCTAGACTCAGCCGTGCTGGAAGCGGCAGAGGTGCATGGCATCTCAGAGGAAGACTTCGCGCTGAGGCAAGCCGTGGTGCTCAGGATGGAGGGGATTATACTCAAACAACTCACAGGTACACTGCTTGGGTAAAAGCTTGCACTAAACGTAAGTAAACTTAATGTAAAAACGAAAAAGTCAAGAAAGAGTCTCTTCCGGTCTGCTGAATGTTTAAATTCTTCACTCATCGTTTCTTAGCGTGCTCTCTCCGTCTGTACGGCTCCTGTCTCACCCGCTTCGCCTTCAAAACGAGTGACGTCAACATCGACGTCTCTTATCCCTCCTCTGTGAGTCTGAGCAGACGTTCACCAGCTGCTTCTGTGGATACGTGTCAGTGAGTTTTACTGTGTTGTTATTAACTCGTTTGTGTTGTGCAGATGACTCAGCCTGATGTGCTGATCCAGGTGCTGGAGATCCTCAAGAACAGCGGTAAGTTTCACTTTAATTCAACCACAAACCATTATAATCCTATACTATGTTTAAATGGACTGGTCAATCAGTTTGTTGTTGTCTGAAAAAAATACAACTCAAATGTTTTGGCTTCCTAATGATGAATTGATATCAAATGTAATGCTAAACAGATTTTCATTAAAAATGAGGGTTGTCAAAATACATTTTTGAGTTAATTACTTATACCGATTAATTAATCAAATTAATTTGATATATTGATAGTGACTCTATCTAGTCTTGGCAACTAATACACTTTAAAAAGTCATGGAAAACTTAATATAAATGAAAAAAAAAAATCTGTTATTTATAGCAAATACAATTTTACATTTAAATATTTATTGTTTAAAATGAGTTGGACAAACTTTTGACTAATAAATAATAATAAAATAAAACAATAATACAGTTTATCATATTGTATTATCTTGTTAAAAATTACTTAATATTATGTATTTTATACTTGTATTTTATATTTATATAAAAAAAATATATATATACATGCATACATAAGCACACACACACGTATACATGTGTATGTAACTTAAAACTAACAAAAATGTAAAATTAGTAAATATATGTAATGTAGTTTATTATTATTTAATATTGTTTACAATTTTATGCATTGTACATTTTAATATTATTTATATAAATAAAAATATATATGTATTTTATGAAATATTTTTATATTATAAATGCGTATCTAACTTCAAAATAACAACAAAAAAAACTGAAAGGGGAAAATAACAAAAAAAGTTCAATTACTAAATATATAAAACAGTATAAAATATTATTTAAAAATGGTATACATTTTACCTTTTAATATTTTGTGTATAAAATATTCATATAAAACTTTGACACAAAAAATATGGGAAAAATAACTAACATTTAAAATGTTACTAAATATAAAATAAATATAGAAAAACAGTAGTCAAAAGTTTCTATGAGTCCAAAATTATAAATATAAAGTTTTATTTGCTAATGTTTGTGCTTATATGAGTCTACAATACTCATTTCAGTGATTTAAGACTTTAGATCAGAAGGTTTGTAATATAAATATGCTTCACTGGACTGTTTTCCAGCTCTAACAGCTGAAAGTTGATAAATGCACCAGACATGAGTTTGGAGAGCTCAGATTAACTGGAGTTTGGCTTTTGTTTCCAGTGGAGTTTGCTGAGGTGGAGTCAGATTTTCATGCCAAAGTCCCTGTTGTTTTCTGCAGAGATGTGGCCAGGTCAGTTTAATGTCGACAATAAAACGCTTCTGTAAATAGTCATTGCACACAGAGAATAAACATTTGAAGACATCAGTAATAGCCTGTCATAGCTGATAGGAGGTGTTTGTTGTCTCTGCAGTGGGTTAATGTGCAAAGTGAGCGCAGGAAATGATGTCGCGTACCTCACCACCAATCACCTTGCAGCTCTGGCCAGACTGGAGCCGAGGCTCGTGCCTTTGGTTCTGGCCTTCCGTCACTGGGCCAATGTATGTATGACTCGCTGTCACATTTTCCAGACATTACAGTAACCATCCTCACCGAGGTGTAACACGATTGTGTGTTTATCTGTAGCTGTGCCACATCGACTGTCAGGCGGAGGGAGGAATCCCGTCCTACTCGCTGTCTCTGATGGTCATATTCTTCCTGCAACAGAGAGCCAAGCCCATCCTGCCTGTTTATCTAGGAAACTGGGTATGAACTCATGTTCTGTTGAACCTCAAATGGATAGCTCCTAAATAGCATATAATCAATATATTGAATTTAAAAACCTACTGTTTTCTGTTCCAGAAGCTGTTTAGAATATTATGTGTAGTATTATGTTATCATGGCAACAGCATATTCACACATAAGGTGCACATTTAACTCTCACCTGGATATTTGCTACTCATCAAAACCCTTTGTCAACAAGCATTTTCATTAGTAATTATTATTTTTTTTTTATATTACTTGAGAAACATTTACTTTCTATTATGTTTTTTTTTTCTCCATTCACTATAGTACTGTGCTGTTAAATGTATTATCTGTTCATTTAATTTTTTTATATTAATTTTTCACAGTACAAATCAATTAGAAAATGTATTTAAATAATAATTATTTACTGAATAAATTGTTTTTAAAAATTGATTTAAATAAATGATACATCTAACAGCGCAGTACTATAGCGAGTTGGGGAAAGAACATCATTGTAAGATAATAGAAACTAAATATTCAAATAATATACATTTATAATGATGATTATTTTCAGAATAAATTGATTCAAGGAACTGATTTAATTAGACAAATAATACATCTAACAGCACAGTACTATAGAGAGTTGAAAAAAAAACATAATTGCAAGATAATATACAGGTGCATCTCAATAAATTAGAATGTCATGGAAAAGTTCATTTATTTCAGTAATTCAACTCAAATTGTGAAACTCGTGTATTAAATAAATTCAATGCACACAGACTGAAGTAGTTTAAGTCTTTGGTTCTTTTAATTGTGATGATTTTGGCTCACATTTAACAAAAACCCACCAATTCACTATATGATGCGTCTCTGCTGTTGGTTGTAATATTGGTGAAGTAAATCCACACTTTGCTGAAGAAGCGTTAGCAAACTCTTGAGCAGCAACAACAGTTCCATATACTCCGCCATTGTTGTGTATGTTTGGTTGCGCTTGCCTTTAAAATCGATACGTACTGCGCATGTCTACATGCCTAACACGTACTACGCATGCGCATGACATCACCGTTTTCAAAGATTCACATATTGGGTTTACACGGAAACGATAACTGTGCCGTTTTCAAAAACTTCAGAAATATGCGTTTTCAGTCCCCAAAATGTCACCGTCATGTAAACGAACAGTCAAAATGCATAAAAAGTTTCCCGTTTTTGGCTGAAAACGTTGTCGTGTAAACGGCCCATAAGCCATCCCAGATGCATATAAGGTTTTTGACAACCTTTTAGACAACTTTTAATTTTTTTTGACAGAGTCGATGCTTCAACACAAAGCAAACATGACTTTAATCCATACGACCAGTTGAGGACTCAATGTTCTCTGAAGCAAAACAATACATGTATGTGACAAAAACACTAATATTTACTAACTTTTTGCTTCCATAACTGGGGTTGTATGGATTACCATCAAGTTCAATTTGTGTGGTTTTTGAAGTGCCAACTTTGGTGATCCCATACACTTGCATTATATAGACTCACTATTCATCGGTTGAAAGAAAATCATACACATCTGGAATGGGTAAATGATGAGAGAATTTTCATTTTTGTGTGAAGTATCCCTTCAATCATCTGTTTAACACTGTGTACTCACTCAGGGATGGTTATAGAGCTGCAAACTATTCATGAACTCATTCTGCATGTCGTCAATGTCATCAGTGGTCTCAATGGGAATACTTGGTGGGTTCAGGACGGGTGAGCATGGCATATTCTCATATTGATATGTATGGTCAACGTACAATCGAAAGTCCCCATAACCCCCTACAGCTCCGTGGAG